TTCAATCATTCTCTCAGCCTTCTCCTCCTCTGCAAAGTTAGCCATCCCATCTGTGTTCCCCCAACAACACCTCATTCAGAGGGGAGTTTCTCTTCCTCTGAGTTCCTTGCAGGAAGTGATACAGGAAAAAACATGGCGGGGGCGGTGAGAGGATGGCCACGTTCCAGGTCCCAGACGAGTCCCTGGGACATGCCCCACCAAGTGAGGGTCCTTGGCTTCGCACAGGAAAGAATTCAAGAGTGAGCCATAGTTGAGTAAAAGTAGATTTACTCAGAGAGGTGTACATTCCATAGACAGAGTGCAGGCCACCTCAGAAGGCAAGAGAGAGAGAAAGAGAGAGACAGACAGACAGACAGAGTGCGTGCAATCTCAAGGTGCAGTGTTGCTAGTTTTTATATGCTAACAAGTGAGAGGATTACTCCAACTGCTTTGGGGAAGGGGTGGGGATTCCTAGGAATTGGGCCACTGCCCTCTCTTTGACCTTTCATGGTTAGCTTCAGAAATGCCACAGCACTTAAGGGGGTGTCATTCACCATGCTAGTACATTACAGTGTGTGTAATGAAGCTCAATGTCCACTGGGCATTGAATCCCTGCCATCTTTGGCCTCCAGGTCTATTGGGAGTTGACTTTTCTGCCATCTTGGTGCTAACTGCTGTGTCATTCCTTTAACGCCTGTGTCCTGCCCCCTTCCTTCCTATCTCAGGACTGTGTCTTATTCACTTTGGGGACCCAATGTCCAGTGCAGGCAGGTTAAGGGCCTCTTTGGGCTCCTACAGCACCCTGGGTACAACTGTAGTGACACCTAGCATCCGGCACTGGAACTCTGGGTTTATGTGCCAATCCCCCACACTCAAGAGGAGAAACTGGGAAAAGCAGGGTAGAAATTACTTTTTTTTGAAAGAAAAATTTATACTTATAAAGGAACACTCCATTTGTAACCCACTGCACCAGGAGAAGAAGATTCTAAATCATAAGGGAAGCTCACCAATGGAGAGGCATAAACCCACATAACACACCTTACCCTTGTTTACCCTGCTTTCCTGGTAACCTCCCATGACCGGCTTCCTCCTCTGCTCCCACCTTTCATTATTTTGTCTTTGGCCGAAGATATATTTAAACTGCTGGTTTAGGCCACCTGGGAGGTGTGAACGAAAAACACTGCAAACCATATCATTAAACAAAGAATACTGAAGTCATCAAGTCATCAGCCATCCCCCTAGGGAAGACGCCAAGCCTCTGCAGCCACTCACAGTGATGCACCCTGAGGGGGCTCAGAATAATAAAGGACAGGATACTGGCCCTAGATAGCTAGGTGCTCGTCAAAGGAATGAATTCAATGAGCCCAAATGTTTGCTTCCTCCCATACACAGAAAAGCACTAAATTCTTTAACTTCAGATGCCTAGTTTTCTTCAGATAACAAGCAATCTTTCATTGTTTCAACTACCTGGTCTTTGTTGTAAAGCTCCTGTATATCCTAGCTCCTCCCCTACCTCTTCGGAGCAGTCCCTCAGAGCAAACCGAGAGGCTGCCATCCCGGCTCGAGTCCTCCCATCAAATAAAACATAACTCTCCACTTTTAGGCTGCGCATTTATTTCAGTCGACAGAGGGTTAACTCATTTTTCCTGCGCATCTCCAAGGTATATATGTGAATAAATTTCTGTTTTCCTCTTGTTAACCTGTCACTTGTTACAGAGGTCTCAGCCAAGAGCGCTAAAGGGTAAAGGGAAAATTCTTTTTCCTCCCCAACAGGGGGTGCGGCTGCCAGGGGCCTGGAGGCTCCTCCCCCTCCCACCAGTCCCTGGACACCCACTGCAGGTAAATGAGCTCTGTGGGCTGCACCCTGGGCTGGCATCTCAGCCCAGGACTTGGGAGCATTAGGGTTGGTGGAAATTAAACCCAGCGTGGGAGCCACAGGCCAGTAGGCTGAGGCCCTGAACAGTGTCCCAGAGCAGGGGAAGAGGAAGCCCTGCGGCTTCCCAGAGTCAGACTAGGAGGAGGAATAGCAAGTCCCCGGAGTCCTGGGGTTTCACAGGACGTTGCACTGCCCAGGAGACACCATTGGGGTGGGGTAGGGTGTGGGCACAAGAAGGAGCCTCACAGGGCTCCTGCTTATCTCTCTGTCCTTGTCCAGATCTACCCCCAGCAGACCTTCCCCTCAGCAGCCTGGCTCTGGCTCTGTACACCTCATCTTTCTCAGGAATATCAACCCCTAGGCCCAGCCAAGCCACCATGGGAAAGATATGAGAGAACAGCATGCTTCTGGAATGGGACTACTCTAGAAAGTAGCAGGGGTCCAGGGAGCAAGGTTAGCAACTATGTGGTCATTAAGAAGAAGGCATTAGTATCAGGCCTGGGTTGGTTAAAATTCCAGCTCAGCCACCCAGCAGCCATGTGGCCTTAAATGAGCAAATTATTTAACCTCACTGAACCTCGATTTCATCATCTGCAAAATGGGAACGATAATTACAGAATAATAGATTTAGAAATTAGAATCAATAGTAAATGCTATTATAATCAGTATTTTCCAATATCCAGGCCTGTGTACAATTTGTCAGGCCTCTTCCAGGCTCCAACAAAAGCAATCCTAAAACTTGCCTGCACTACTGTACTGTGATAGTGAATTGGTAAGAAATTATGTTACCCAGACAGGAATGGGTTAACATCTCCCTGTTGACTAGAGCCTCTGGGAAAATGCCTTGATTCCAAGGGGTGAGTATTGGATGGCAGGCGGAAAGGGCTGTGAGTAAACGTGCATATTAACTCTCTACTTTCATCTGGGATCTCACAGCAGAAGGAACACAAAACTTTTCAGAAAGAGACCGGGGGTGACTGCCTGTTCCAACAGAGGGTGGGGCCCAGGGGCTCCATCTATGGCTGTGCTGATGTCCCTTGTACCTTTCCTACCATGGGGTGAGAGTTCAGCGGTCAAGTTCCTCCAGGGTTGGGGGAAGAGACAGGGCCTGAACGCAGGGTACGTGTGCACAGCTCTTCCCTTCTCTCTGCCTACCCGCAACCTCCCCTCCCAGCTCCAGACCGCTCAAGTACCCAGTTAAAATTCCCTTAGGTGACTGCTTCCTGACACATAACTGCTCGATAAATGTTGGTGGAACTGAATTGCATGCAGGCCGTAAGGTTGACTGGTGGTGGGGAAAGGGCTTTCCCTGAATTCAGTCCAGAGGCAGCGAGCCTGAGGGTGGTTACCACCCCGGGATCAAGTGCCAGGAACTGACAGGGGCCCCATCCACAGAGGCCTGCTGTTGAAACCTGGCAGCTACCCCACACTAGAGAACACAGGAGCCACGTCTTCACTGTCAGTATTCTAGCAACTAGGAGGGAGGGAGGAAGGAAAAGGAAGAAAAAGGGGAACGGAATGAGCAGAAAGTAAAGCAAGCTAGCAAAAAAGGAAGTTAGAGACTGAATAAATGGACAAGTCAGGACTCAAAAGTCTGGACCAAAATAGAAGCCCTGGCCTGAGAACTCAGTCCAAAAATGGGAAACGAGATTGGCCAGCAAGTTATGCCCCAAGATCAAAGCAGGTCCTGCGTCTCACTGGCAGCAGACACTTCCACTCACAGCAGCTGTCACAAGGGCTCTGCGTCTGGAAGGATAATGGTTCCGAGCTGCCCAGGCTGAGACCAGTAGACCTAGCTTGGTAATGAGCATAATGAAGACCTTGGTCTTGGGATCAGACATGCCTGATTTGAATCCCAGCTCAGCCATTAGATCAGGTCATTCCACCTCTTAGAATTTTCTTATCTTGAAAACAGGGGCACTACTACCTGGCAGACTAGTCATGGAGGTCAGAAATAACAGGTGGCCCTCAGGAAGTGCTGGATGGCAACTTTTACTATCAGGGAGCAATTCATACATGCAAGTTTGGGTGACCATATGTTTAAAATAGCTTGTATGGAGATTTTCAAGGAGCAGGAAAACGTATACAAAATAAAAGTGCTTTGTAAATTGAGAAGTACCCTAAAATGTTAGGGAATCGTTTGGAAATTCTTTATTGGCTGGAGAAAATACAGGCTTTGGGCTTGGGCCCTGCCACTGACTTGTCATGTACGCCTGTTTGGCATCTGTCACATGTGGGTCATTTCTACTTCACAGGGTTGTTGTGAGAATTCAACAGGATGATGAGTGGAAAGCTCCTGGCACATCCCTTCCTCGGTGGGTGAGGACCCCATGTCACAGGTCAGGTCATAGGTGGCGCCAGAATCACATTCTGCCGACTGGCTACAAACAAACAGGGCCCCTCACTCCGGAAGAGCAGGACCTCAGACTGGCAAGAGGTAGAGGGGTGTCTTCTGTATATGTTGCAGGAAACCTGGGTGAACACGAAATAAATGTCCACGCAGGAAACACTGAAACCTGCCACATGCAGCCAGGCCTTCAGAAGGAAAAGCAGCCAGGTATGACCCCTACCAAGCTGTCCCAGACTTAGGAACTCAACTATTGCTACTGAGGGCAAAGACTCATTTGAGATTCATTGTGTCCCACCCCTCAGTCCCTACTCCCTGGCACTCATTTTCCCTCAACACAGAGTTAAGCATCAATCAGTAATCAGTCTAAAGTTGAAAAGGTTCTCGTGCTTGGCACCAACATCCCACAGAGCAAAGGGTCCAGGGCTGTATCAAGAAAGCACACCAGCTCCCACTTCCAGGGAATCACTTGGTCCCACCACATACCCGCTGGGTGACTTCACAACCAGTGGCTTCACCTCTCCACTACTGTCTCATCTTACTTCCTTGTGGGCTGCTAAGACAACCAATGAGATAAATGTGAACATGACCTACAGAATATAGGATACAGTGGACGCTCAATTAATATTACTTCCTTTCCTTCCCTTTCCTCTTCACAGGCCCCAAGAGTCAGCCTTTCTTTTGCTTTTCAGAGCAGCCACTCACTCTGTCTTTTTTAGATTTCAACTCCCTTCTGCAGTGGCTGCAGTATGACCATCTCCCCACTCCTTTGATGCCCACAAATAAGTACACAGGTCCTTCTCATTCAAGGTTTTACTGCTGATCACTCTGGGGAAACAGATGTAGGTTGGGGTGGGGGTGACAAGTCAGACATGGGGGAGGGTGAAGGTCCCTGGATCAGGCTCCTTGAGGGCTTCCCTTTCATTCCTATGGCCCCTTTCCCCCCTGCTCCTCCCAGCCCAGTTGGGGTACAGCAGGTGGGGACCGGTGGACCACTGCAGTGTGCCCTAAGCAGTGCACATACGATACGGAGGACCTCCAGACAGTGATGCCCATCTCATAGGTACTTCCTCAAAGGCCAGGGGACGGTTGCCCTAATGATACGAGCATGTACTAAGCCTACCCTATTTCTCTTTCACCCCAAGGAGATGAAGCCAAGACGGCGTCCTCTGACTTTCCACAGCAAGAAACTGGCCTGGAAAAAAGGACTTTCACTCAGACTCCCTTCTCAGGACTTCCTGGAGATCCTGGCTTCAGAGACAACAGAAAACCATTTTCCAAGGTGGGACGAAGGGCTTGAGGTCAAGGGGACAGCAGCAGATCCTAAAGATCTTTCTACGTTAGGGTGGGGTCTCCTGCTCTCTGTCCCTCGCCCTCCTTCAGCTGGAATCTTTCCCGGCCTGTTCTCCGCGGTGCGTCTTCTGGTGGCGGATGAGATTGGAGCTGCGGGAGAAGTGTTTCCCGCACTGAGTGCACCGATAGGGCTTCTCGCCCCGGTGGGTCCTCTGGTGAGCTCCAAAGTTGGAGATGTCGCTGAAGGTCCGGCCACACTCGGCACACTCGTAAGGCCGCTCGCCCGTGTGTGTGCGGTGGTGCACGCCAAAGCTGGAGCTGTTGCTGAAGCTCTTCCCGCACTCGCAGCAGATGTAGGGCGCGGGCTCCAGGTGGGTCCGGTAATGCACCGCCAGCGCCGAGCTCTGGCTGAAGCTCTTGCCACAGATGTCGCAGCGGAAGGGCCGCTTGCCCAGGTGATCCTGCTGGTGCGTGGTGAGGTCCGAGTGCCGCCGGAAGCTCTCCTCACAGTTGGGACACTTGTAGTGCTTCTCCTCCAGGTGGATCCGCTCGTGCCGGATGCGGTTGGAGCTTCTCGAGAAGCTCTTGCCACACTCAGAACACTTGTAAGGCTTCTCGCCCGTGTGGATCCGCTGGTGTGTTCTCAGGTTGGAGGTGTTATTGAAGGTTTTGCCACACTGGGCACAGATAAAGGGCTTCTCGTCGGCCTCGGGCCTCGGGGGAGCACAGCGGTCCTCTGGCTCCAAAGCTGGGCCAGTGACTGCCTGCCGTGGCTTTTCTGGATGGATCCCTTGTGGCCCCTCTGACGAGCTTTCTTGCCCGAGCTCTTTATCCCCATCTGGGATCCAAAAACCCTCTGAGTCATCCACTCTCCAGGGCTCATTACCCCGTTCCCCTTCCTCGGGCAGGTGCTGTTCTGGGCTCTGCTCCTTCTCACTGCCCATCTCTGAACCCTGAGAATGAACACAAATGGCCAACACCTTTATTCCTGGTCAGGCCAGACCGCAGGGAACCTTTTGTTCTGGTTGAGGGCGTGTACACCGTCCCCATGGAACCATCCATCAGCAATAACCTCAATTAACCAGAATACTTGGCTAGAATGCCTTTACTTACTAACTTTCAAATAACAAACTTCCAGACATTTAAAGCTACCCCAGAGCAAAGAGAAGGCCCCAGCTTTGTCCACCCTCAACAGATATCTGTAATTTGTATAATGGCACTTTTCTTAATACCACTAAACAATGACAGGCTAGACTATCATTCACGTGTAAGTAAAGGAGCTTCCATTTGGGAATGAGTTTGATTTTTCTGCCTAACTGTAAGTTAATGGAAATTTCCTCTGTTTAATCTCTTTTGAAACAACTTCGTTAAAAGTATCCATCTATTTGTCTGCTTTCAAAATGGAGACAACAGAACCTCTAATCCTGGAGGCTCTCCTAGTTTTTATACAAGGCCCAGCTTTGAATCCTCTTAAATGTTCCACCGCCCTTCCCATTCCCAGACCTTACCATAATCCAGCAAATAAAGGGTTAGCATCTGGGCCCTCCAAGACCTACAGTAGGGCCTGGGCTGTGTCTGTTCTGACTGGTCATCACCCACTTCCACACTCAAACACCACACACAGCAGTGTATACACACAGAGTCTCACACACATTCACAACACACACACATACCACACACGGTCACACATACACATCACACACACCACAAACAGCCCTCCCACACATATTGCCACATTCCTGGCTGCACATACAGCTAACCTCTCACAACTCATGCAATCTCACACACACACTCATGTGCCCCCTCCCCACGCCCCGCTCCCACACACAGGGCCCAGCACAGGGCCTACTTATGCAAGTATCAGTAAATGCTTGCTAAGCTGCATAGACTTCCTTGAGTTCCTACATCCAAGGGCAGGAAATGAGGGGAAGAAAGTACTTCTGATAAGAGGGGAGTGATGTTTCCTCTGGGCCTTGAATAAGGACATTTCAAAAGGCAGAGTGGGCTGGTGGAGATACTGTACAGAGTGACATGAACAAAGGGATGAGGGAGGGAAGCACAGACTATGATGGGTCACTGATGGGAGAAAATGAAAGATTGATAACTGCTTCAAGTCAGCAAGGATCCATGGAAAACAGCAACACAGAATCACTGAGTCTATGAACTCCATGGAAGGGGCACTGACTACATTCAGGGTGGGATCCCAGTGGTGACACATACTGTCTTTACAACTCTGCAAATCATCCGACTACTCTGAGCCTCAACTCCCACATCACTAAAATTGTGATACCGACCGACACTGCAGGACTTTGATAGAGACAAGGCCTATAATTTGCTCAGTGCAAAGTGTGGCATTCAGTAAATGACAGCTGCTATTATAATTGTTGAAGACACTATATGCTAGCCCTGTGAAGAATGCAAGAATGAAAAGGATCCCTTACATGATCTTCTTTGGAAAAGAAAAAAATTTTTAATAAAAAAATGGTACAAAACTATATAATCTAAAATGTGAAATACAGACAGCAACTCAAATCTTTAAGGAAGTGGGGGGTGGGGGTCCGGCCAACTTTTTCTGTAAAGGACCAGAGAGTAAATATTTAGTAAATATTTGTGGCCATGGGATCTCTGTTGTAGCTACTCAACTCTACCATTGTATCATAAAAGCAGCCACAGAAAATCCGTAAATGACTGGGTGTAGCTGTGTCCTAATAAAACTTTATTTAAAACAAAAGGAGGCGAACTATAATTTACCAATCTCGATTAGAGTGTTTCTTCAAGAATATAGATAAGCGATGTGAAAAATCACAAGGCCTGCTTCACTTTCAAAAATGCAAGTGAACATCAGAAATGATTTATTCCTTGATACTTATTCACTATTTCCTGACTATTCTTTAAAAATTTACAACCTCTTCGCCCACACTCCCAATCCCCCTGCCCCTTAGCATCTCACCTAACAATCTACTTTTTACGTCTATTACTTGGTATCGGTCTCCCCCTGCAAAAACCTAAGTCCCATGACGGCTGGCTTCTTTGTTTAATTCACTAATGCAACCCAAACTCCTATAGTGGCAGTTATATATAGCAGATCCTTAATAAATGTTTGTTGAATGAACTGAATGAAGACCAGGCTTCCTGTCTCCAGAACCCATTTTATCATTACTTGTGTCTATTCTCACCCACTGTTCCTTAGCAATCTCTTAATTCCTGCCCACTTCCTCATCTCTGCACCCACACAATCTTGTACTTGCTTTTACAGAGATTTATAATTATTTGTTTACATGTCACGTAATAGTTTCCACTATTAGTTTATAAGTGCAGGACCTGGGACATTTTGGTAATCCCTCCAGCACAAGGCCTGGTACCCCAAACTGTTTTTAAGTATGAGTGAATGGGTACAATCTTAGTTCACTTGCTACCCCTGCCCACCCCATCAAGGGCTCTAATCTCTTTTTATACAATGAACTACATAACCTCCACTCGCTACCAATCCTACTATTCTGAAAACCTACAATATACCAAGCTCTGACTCTACTCAGGGCTGAATGCTGGGTCAAAATAAAAGCAAAGAGTTAGGACTATAGTCACTACCCTACAACAGTTTATGGTACAGCACAGTGAAAACAGGCCATGAACTCCAGAAACTCATAGGGTAGGTTAAATTGCAGGGAAAGGAGGGAAACTGTAATTTGTCCAAGGGCACACAGCAAGTGAGTAGAACTGAGAGCTATGCCCATCACTCCAAAGCCAGTGCTTTTAAGCATACACCAGTATCGGAGGGAGGAGAGAAAGAAGGAAGGAAGAAAGGAATGAAGGAAATAAAAACAGTGCCACGGGAGTTCTGATGACACAGGCATATCTCCCTGAAGAGCTCAGGGATGAGCAGCTTTACAGCAAAGGTGGTCTTTGAGCTAGGACTTGCAGGATGGGTGAGCAGGATTGGGACTTACAGAGGTGGGGAGCCCACGATCTACCAAGACAGTGGCAGGTAAAGTAAAGAGGCACTTTCACATCACATTTCAGAGATCTGGGAGAGAATGGGGCTTGTGGGACTTGTCCTCCCAGGCGGCTCAGAGGTACAAGGAGGACCAAGAATGGAAGGGATTGAGGAAGTGGAGAAGGAGCCAGGTCTAAGAAATAAGCTCCAAGAAGATGGGCAAGAAGATGGGGCTGGTGATCACAGATGCTGAAGGTCAAGGGCCTGGGTTAGGGGCAAGGGGCCCAAGCTAGAAAGCGGTATAAAAGTCCAAAGTTTGGGGTCTCTACGGTCAAGCCGAGAGCTGGGGGTAGGAAGGAGAGAAAGGTGTTTGGAAAGATGAGGGAAAACGTGTGAAAGAACAGGGAACTGAACAGCGGGGGTGGATAAGGTATCAGAGATAGTGGAGGAACAAGAGTCAGGGGGTCCGAGGAGATGGTCAGGGGTTGTGTGTAGCCGGGTGAAGTCTGAGGGTACAAGCGTTCTAGAGGACAGGAGCTGGGTTCAGAATTGCCGGCGGGCTTCGGGCTGTAGGGCTGGGAGAGAAGCTGGGGCTGACCCCAAAGGTACGGTCAGTGGCGGCGGTGCTGAAGTAACCAAAACAGGAGAAGGGCGGGAGGGTAGGGGCTGGGGCCGAGAGCCTGGCCGTGCAGGCCGGGGGAAGGAGACAGGGGTCGGGGCGGAGGGACCACAGAGCCCCCTGTGCTCCCCACTGGGTCCGCGGAACAAAGCCACAATTCCAACTCCCCGGTGAGAGGGAAGGGGCCATGTTTACAGTTCCCCGCGAAACCATGTGCGCCTCCCTCGCGACCTCGGGCCCAACCCCGACCCACCTCTCTCCCGCCGCTCCGTCGGATACAGCGCCGTCTGACTGGGCCGGGGGGAGGATCCGGAACCGGAACCCAGAAGGGATCCGCCCTGCCTCTTCAGGATTGGCTCTCGAGCACTGCCCTTCCTTTCCATTGGCTAAACTGGCTGCCACAACGCAAGAGACCCAGGCTGAGCGGCCAATAAGCTTCGGCCCTGGGCATGACCTGCTGGGAGTTGTAGTCCTACCGAAGAGAGTAGCCGCGGAGAAGAAATTTGAGAAGTTTAGAATTGTGTACTGGAAACTGGGGTCCTTCTAAGGTAGTCGGATTTCCTTCCACGCTCTGGCGTTAAAAGCCCAACGTGCAGGGCCACTGGTCTGGGAAGTTGTAGAGTATGTAGAGCTACCCTACATGACCTCCTAGGGGTCATGAACTGAGAGTTTCTTCTCTACTTTGAGTTGGTGACCCTTGATGGTCCTGTGGACATCCCATAAAGCGTAGAGTCCCGCGCCACACTGGAGGTTTATAATTTAAAGTCAAAAGATAATGGAATTGGAAGGGAGTTTAAAGATTAGCTAACCCAATCCCCTTTTAAGAGAAGCTAAACATTTGTCCAAGAAACCACTTGTGCTTTCGCAAAGCCCCTTGCGCAGGGATTTTTCTGGATGCTACAGTATTTAAACCTGACTGTCGTTCATCAGTCCAGACACAAGACGACCACTAAGGTATATCCAGGACTAGGATTTTTTGTTTTCAGGTTTAACTTCAAAACAAAACAGAACAAAAAAAGTCTAATTGAATTTGTAAGGCTAAAATTCTACAGATCTCTCATATCTTCAAGATATTTCAGTGCAAAGAAAAACATTATTGTCTTCAGAGCTAGATACATCAGATTTATAATCCCAGGTCCACCACCTAGCCATTTAAAGCATGATTTCCTTTTCCTTTTCCTATAAAATCCCTGGCAGAACTACTGCAAGGATTTAATGAGTTAACATATGTAAAGCTTCTGCAGCCACAAATGTCAGTTCTCTTTCCTGCTGGTAAGTCTTTGGGTGCAGCCAGTGTGAACAATGTTAGTTAGTTTTAAGTTAGGAATAGTCATGAAAGTACGTTTGAAACTCAGTATGGATGAGTGAAATATAAATACCCTGTATATGCTATTACTTTATAAACTGTTATAAATGAAATACGGAGAAGGCAGACTCAGACATAAAACTGTGGCTTTATTTTTAACTATCATTAAAGCTTGTTTGGGTGGAATCAAGATTGTTCAAAATGAATCCCATAATTTGCTTCTCTCTTACCAGCCCAAAGCCTTTTCCCCACAACTTCTCATTCACAATGAAAATAACAGCATGCCAAGCAACAAATATCAAATTTTTATTTAAGTACCATACAAAAGCAAACAAAAAATTCCACTCAAGTGCTGTGATATCTCATTTTATGTGTCAACTTGACTGGGCTACAAAGTGCCCAGATATTTGGTCAAACATGATTCTGAGTATTTCTGTAAGGGTTTTTGGGTGAGATTAACATTTTATTTTTAATTTTTTATTGAAGTTCAATTGATTTACAATGTTAGTTTCAGGTATAGGGCAAAGTGACTCAGTTATACATATACACACATATTTTTTTTAGATGATTTTCTATTATATGTTATTACAAGAAATTGAATATAGTTCCCTGTGCTATACAGTAGGTCCTTGTTGTTTATCTATTTTATATATAGTAATGTGTGTCTGTTAATCCCTAACCCCTAATTTATCCTTCCCTGCCCTTTCCCCTTTGTTTTCTATGTCCATGAGTCTGTTTGGGGTTTGTAAATAGAATTTATATATGTATTTTTAGACTCCACATATAACTGATATCATATGATATTTATCTTTCTACTTCACTCAATATGATGATCTCTAGGTGAGATTAATATTTGAATTGGTTGACTGAGTAAAGTAGATTGCTCTCCCTACTGTGGGTGGACCTGATCCCATCAGTTGAAGGCCTGAGTAGAACCACAAAGCTGACCACCCACTGAGTAAGAGAATTCTTCCTGCCTGACAGCCTTCAGGTCTGAGCCATCAACCTTTTTCCTACCTTCAGACTCAAAACTGAAATACTGGTTTTTCTTGGGTCTCAGCCTTCAAATTGGAGTCATACCATGCGATCTCCTAAGTGTTAGGCCTTCAGGCTTGGATGGGAACTAAACCACTGGCTCACCTGGGCCTCCAACTTGCTGACTAACCCTGCAGATCTTGGGCCTTGCCAGCTTCTATAATCATGTGAGCCAATTCCTTATAATAAATAAATATATATATGTTCTCCCTGCCATATGTATTTATATGTAGTCTGTTTCTCTGGAGAACACTAAAATAGGCACTAACAGAGGGAACTTCTGACAGACAGAATGATCCAGTTTCTGCTGGGTAGAACTGTGTACCCATCTGCAAGTTGATAGCCAATATCTCAACAAAGAGGGCAGATCACATACGTGGTGTGACTTGAGAGTGACTAGGGTTCTTTGCAAGCCACACCCCAAAGTCAGGTTCATTATTTTATCCTCACACTTGGTCTACCAACTTCCTATTTGAAATCAATACTTTCTGACCTAAGAGGCTGTTTGCTACCCAAATAGTCAAGTCCTCCGATATCATGGTCTTACGGAAAAAAGGCTTCTAACTTTGGAGGCTAAAACTGCCACTTTTTCTAGCTGGGCCTCCCTGAATCCCAGAGCGGATTCAAAAGGGCCAGTGTAACAGATTGCCTTGCCCATAGCTGCCTTTTCAAGGCCACAAACAGCTGGGCTGCTCTGTTTGAAGGTGGGCTTCCCAGTTTCCTGATTGCTCTCCTGAGGTTTTTCAGGATTACGGCTACCATGTTTGAAGTCCCCGTAACTGGTTATCATAAATAGGTAATTAGCTTTGAAAACATGTACATTAGCTCTGAATGTCACCAACTGTGCTGTAAACAGCATCAAGGAAATAGAAAAGAGTGATTGCATTTTTTTGTTTTGTTTTTAATCCCTCTGGCCTCCCTTCCCCATATTCCAGAAGAAAGAAGGAAGAGTGTGTGACCCAAAACATGTTTACTTTTAAAAAGCTGGCTTTGGGGACTAGAGGCCTGCCCTGAGAAAAGGAGAAAAGCAATTCTTCACGGGATAAGTAAGAAGTCAGGACTGGGCACCATAACTCATGACTAATAGCCTGAGAGCAGGATGAGGCAGGATGAAGTTCTGCTAACCAGCCCCTCAAGTAGAGAGCCCTTGCATCTCGGTGACACACATTCAGCATCACCACCTAAACCTAGTCTGACTGTTCATTTGGTTCTCAAGAATTCTTTTAGGGTAATGGGAGTTGCAAGTCCCCAGAAGGAGAACAGAGTTTATAACTGAGCCGTGGGAGGAAGGTGGTACAAAAGGAATCACAAAAGAGTCTGGACTGGAGGAAAAGAGAGATGTTCCAGAAGCAGGTGCTGGGCCAGGAGACTGAAATCCAGGGCACTGGGCTGGTAATGAGGTCCGTCCCTAAAAAGAAGGAACCCTAAGTCCTTGAAGGGCTGGGCCAAGGTCAGAGGGCCAGGACAGGATCCTGTCTCTGAGTGGGAAGAGCTCCGGTGTCTGAGCAGGGAGCAGGGAAGGGTCCACCTTCAGGGCAACATCTCTATTAGCATGGCCTTTGTCTTCTGGCTTGGGCACAGTTGATCCCTCCAGTTTCTGGAGTTCAGAACAGATGATTAGAGGTGCTGTGTTTTTCCCTCCATCATGAAGGCAAGGTTCAAAGAAAGGGCGAAGGGGACCAGAGAAACTGTGGGTGAAAGTAAACATGTGGGATTGGTCCGTCACGTTGTAGAAGGAAATGACTCCTGCTTCATAGTCCAGGAAAATCCCCACGCACTGCGGGGGCTCTTTCAGGCGGAAGGAGGTCTGCGGGGATGTGAGGGCCTCGTACTCATTCCCACAATTCTGTCGCACGAGCCAGTGTCCGTTGGCGGGTGAGGCGGTGACCTTCCCCTTCCTGCTCACAGACTCACTACACACCCCGAGGGCCCACTTGGTCTTGTCTGTCACATACACCTCCCAGTAGTGACAGCCGGCCGTGAAGTACTCAGAGCCCAGGACACTAACGATGAAGTCAAATCTCTGGGGGTTGTCCGGCAAGGGCTTCCTTGTGTCTCCAAGCTTCACACATCTCCGGTCCTCAGAGAGGATGAGTTTGGGATGCGCTGTGTCTGGGTCCAGGGTCACCGCCACTGCAGAGGGCCACAGAGAGATGAGGTTTGGGAAGTCTCAGTCTCAAGGGATCTTTGGGTAGTTTTGGAGGGAATAAAAATCTCTAGGTCTGCAACCACTGTCATTGGCCCATTTTAGTTCATGGTGCCCTATCCTCCATGTGTCCTGGAACCAAAGAAAACTGTCTTCCAGTCTCCTAGATCTCCTGGTAGTGTATTATGTAAAAGAGAGAAAAGTTTCTCAGCTGTCTGTGAAGCTGCCTTGATCCTTAGAAAATACTGCCTTTGTCTTTGATGGCCCAAAGGAACCGAATGTATGCTCATAAACAGACTTTGATGTTAGACCAGAAGCCAGATAGGATGCTTGAGTCCAGCTCTGCCGCATGCTAGTTATGTGAACTTGGACTTGTTATCCATCCTCAAACTTTAGTTTCTTTTTTTTTTTTTTTAATTTTTTTTTTGGGGGGGTAATTATGTTTTTTAAATTTATTTATTTATTTATTTAATGGAAGTACTGGGGATTGAACCCAGGACCTTGTGCATGCTAAGCATGTGCTCTACCACTGAGCTATACCCTCCCCCAAACAGACTTTACTTTCTCTACCTATAAAGTGGGAATAATAGCAGCACCTATGTTGTAGAGCTGTCGTGCAGATCTAATGAGCCAATGGATGAGAGGGTGCCTCAGTCACGTTCTGAGTGTGATGCTCATTTTCTTAGCTAAAATTATTGCTTATAATCCTCGTTTTAAAATGTTAATATAGAGAGAAGGATTATTCCTTAAAATTGTGGATATATGAGGGTCACCATGAGTCTCCCTCCTTCCCCAAGTAGAGATAAGAGGCTCTTCTTGGAGAGTTAAATCCAAGAAATGCAAACTGAGTCGAAGTTGTGGGAATGAGCCAGATTATGAGTGTGAGAACTGTTTTTGAGTTCCCAGAATGCCACAGATGCCGACTCATTGATTCTGTTGCCCCTGCCTGAAGGAAAGCCCCGTGAACAGAAGGCGGATGAGCAGTCCGGAAAGCAGAGAAGGACAGAAAGCAGTGAAAATAACAGGTCTCATTCAAACAGCAGCAAAAAATGCAAACTATTTAGGAATAAATTGAAAACAGATGTGCTAATCTTTTCAAATAAAACTGTGAAAACTTTTCATAGTCTACTTTGTTGAGGCATCTGCCCAACTCACTCCCCTCTCTGCGAATCTCAATCAGCATCCCTCCGCTCCAAGAAACTGATCTTCAGAGAAAGAAGGATGCGGCAGACGTGTAGAAAGGGACAGGGGCACCAGCTATTTATCCAGTAGTGGGAAAGGAAGGACTTCCCACCCTGAAAGCACAGAGGAGACTACATAGGAAAAAATGGATAGATTTGACTACCGGAAAATAGAACACTCATGCATCAAAAAAAGGATAAGAAAATTAAAATGCAAATGAAAAACTCAGAAAAATATTTTGTGAAAAACATGACAAAGAGTGAATACAGAAAAAAAAAAATCTTCACAAATCAAAGAAGTGGCCAGAGTAGGACAGGAGCAGACAAGCCACAAAGATAAAATACGAATAACCAATGAACTTAAGAAAAGAATCTCAAAATTCATAGAAAACCGACAAGAAGATCAAATGGAATATTTATGTGTTCTAAAAGAGGGGTGGCTTTCTGAATCTAAGAGTGACCTTCTCAAAAGCACAAAGTTTTTTAAAAATTTGATGAGCAGGTAAACAAATTTGATTAAAAATTCTTTAAATTACAGTCTGCATTCCAAAAGAACAGAGAAATGGGCTCTAAAATGTGGATCAGTTTGACTGGTGTAACTTACCAAAGTGCAGCCGAGCCCTTCTCCAGCCTGAAAGACAGAAAAAGGGGTTGTTAAAGCGACGGGAAATGGAGACTTGCTGGTGAGGATGCAGGGCGGGGAGCAGGGAAAGTGCATCTCACCTGAGTTTGCTGCTGCTCTTTTCAACTCTACAAAAGAAGAAACAAGGGGAATGAGCTATCACTGGAAGTCGAATCAACAGGAGATAAGCTGGTGTGGAAGTCACAAGAACAGGGGAACTTACTCAGATCACTCCGGAGTTTCTCTACAGAATAAAAACAGTCGGACAAATCAAAACAAGGGCGTCTAATTCCTTTGATGCTACAGTTCCATCCCAACCACATTCCCAGATCAGATCCTCAAGGTGATACCCTGAACTTCCCCCATGACAGTGGCTTTGCAACAGCAGTGGCTCACCGCCGCAGAACAGGGGCCCCCAGAGATACTGCAGAGGGTCAGCAAGTTCCTGCGGGAACCAAACCTGACCGGCAGACTGAACAAACAACACATGTCACACACGTGAGTGATGGCGACATAAACTTGTAAAGATGTCGTGGGAGAAGAATAAAGTATAAGTTCATTTAAAACAATCATTGAATTTCCATGAGATTTTCTTATGTTTATTTCTCAATGTGAAATAAAGCAGACATGCCACATGTCTGAGGATTTGTTGCTGTTGTTATAAGGAGGTTCTCATGCATGACAGGGTGGAGAGGCAGCACTCCACATATTCAGTTTAATTCAGTGTAATGGAGATCCATCTACCTTGGGTCCCACCTAGGGGAACGTCATGCCTGAGTGACAGAAGGGTCTTCCAGATGGCTTCACCTATGGGAGGTACCTCTCTTCTTGCTAAAACGTTTCCCATTTAGAGACTAGGTAACAATTGCACAGGAAAGAGGATGGGGGACTACTCGAGAAAAAAAAAGAGGCCTTAGAGAGCCAAGAAATCCCCAACCCTCATGGCTCGAAGTACCCCTGACCCCTCTCTTCTGCCCCAGGAGGTGAATCTGAGACTCTCATCCTAAAGCAAAGTCATCAGCAGAAGAAGGTCTGCACAATGGACGAGGAGCAGAACTTACTGAGGGCTTTTCGGAGCCTTCCTGAAAAACAGAGAGAGAGACACAAGTGAGCCGGTCCTGCCGCTTTATCTCCGGAGCCCAGGAAGGACCATCAGTCCGCCCCCTCACAGCAGAAGGGATGGTGATGATGCTGTCAGCCCCTCATCACATCTTCCAAAGGGCAGGCCGGGGAGTACAGTGGTGCTCATGCCACTTTGCAGATGGCCTGGACTACCCGGAACTTGGGGTTCCTCTTCCCTTCCTTTTGTCTGTCTGGTTTCATTTCCGCTGTCCATCTGGGTGTTTCTATTTGTAACTGGGTGTCCGTGAGTGTATGCCTTGCTGCCCGTTTATGACTGTTTGTAACATCTGTGGTGTAAAACGAGCTGAAAGCCTACCACTGACTTACTGACATGCTCCATTACCTCTACAGTGACCCCCCCACCCCCGCAAAGAGCCGCAGAGAAACACAAACCTGGAGACCCCAGGAGGTTTGGGCACCTGGGTATACGCTTCTGTGCTTTGGTGGAGTAACTGCAGTTTCTCTGGAAGGGTCATCCACCCACACTTCCCCTTAGCACTGGCCCTGCCACAGAGCTGAAATTAGACACTTGAGTTCACTGCCAGGCCCCGTGCTAAGGGCTGGGCATGGGTTAGGTGTTAGGCTTCGGGGCAGTGAACTTGAATATGATATGGCCCCTAGGAAGTCTCTGGTTTATTTTTACCATTCCCCCTACCAACAGCTTCCACATCTTGTGTCCTGTTCTTATGACTTAGGCCCCGAATCCTCTCAACCATGTGAGGTGCATATAATTATTATTCCCATTCTACAGAGTGGTGGTCTGAGGCTCAGCAGGACATTCAATTTGTCCAGATCATCCAGCTAGTGAGTAGCCAAGGGGGCAGCATTCAAACCCAAATCTGTCTGACTCCTAGTCGGAGGCCTTCACCCCTACACCACACTGTTCCTTCCCTTCTAGGACAGAACGGACTGTGTCCCTGAGGTGTGCACATTTTTACCAGCTTGGAGGAGGTGTGAAGGGGGGAGGGAAGAAGTGCCGAAATCACTGCATGTGGAACCGTTTCTGAGCCAGTGACATGCCTTCACAACTAGACTTTCAAAGGGCAGAGCCCTGCCTGTTCTCTGGGACTCGACGTATCTTTTACCCTCAGTGGCCCAGAGCAAACATTCAATTAATGAAGACAAAATGGCAATAAGGGAAAGGGTCTAGGCACTGTAACAGGAGACTTTTTGGGGTTTTTTTAAGTCGTCTGTTTTCATCCTGAAAATAATCAGGTGAGGGGACTTAGAAGCCCCATTTTACAGATGAGGAAACCAAAGCTCAGAGAGTGAAGTAAATGGCAGATCTGAGCCAGGTGTTGCTGACTTCAGAGCCTGTGACCCTCCCACTGCATCACACCGCCTCTCTCAGTGCAAAGGTTGCATGGACCCCTGAGATTTTCGTCCATCCCATAGGACTATTTTGATATATTTTAAGTAGTATATAGATATTCTTTCTAGGTGATTGGGAGAAAGGCCAATGAAGGGAGCTCATGATAATCCAGACCTAAAAATTTTGACCAGGGCATCCCGTCACCCACTGCTACCAACCCTGTGACCCCCTTGATACTGGAAAGTAAATTCCAATAATATTGACAGAGGATATATATATGGGGTGCGTGTGTGTATACATACACACACATATAATGTATGTATAATAAGACTCTCAGCATTTATGTAGAAGGAGAAAAATACATTATTTGTTCACTGCCCCTTATTCTAGACATATAATTACCTTTTTCTTTTGCATGGGCTGAGAGAAGATTTTCTAGAGGAAGAAAAGTAAAAGAAAATGAAATTCTGAGCCATTACCTTGAGGGTCCCTGCCTCCTATTGAGTTGACAGGCTCTTGAGCCTGTCCACTTCTATCTCCACCTCCACCCACTGATCCAGCCCTCATCATCTCTCATCTGGATGCCAAGATAGCAGCCCCCATGGCCCCCACATTCTGTCTTGCTCCCTCTGGTCTCCTTCAACACAGCAGCCTGAGAGAGCTTCTCGAAACACGATTCTGGTCGGGAGAGCCCCTTCACAGCTTCACCACTGCCTGGCAGAGAAAGACGAAAACCCTTCACATGGTCTACCAACCTCACATACTGGCCCTGCCTAACTCTGCAGCATTACCTTCTGCCACCTTTCCCTCACTTCTGCACCGTGTTTCTTTCTCAAGCTCTTCTTTCTGCTGCAGATGATTTTCTATTCCCTCTCCTCCCATGCGTGTCCGTCCTCCAGATCAAACAGCACTTCCTCCAGGGACTCCCCTTCCATCCCTGAGGTCTGGCTGGTTGGTTCCACCTGGTCACTGTCTTCCCAGCCTTCAGAACATCCATGTGTAGCATTTGTACACATTTATTTGTGTAGTTATTGAATTCATGTATACATGCCTGGCTAGACTGAAAGTCCCAAGACTGTGTTGTCTTTCATCCACCACTGTATTCCCAGCATCTGGTATAGTCTGCACCACTTAGTAGACAGCTATCAATGATTTGTTGAATGAATAAAGCATCTCCCACATTAGGTCTGCACAGCTCCTCCAGCATAAGATCAAACCATGAGCTCACAGGCAAAATCACCACGCATATTGGAAGGCAAGCTAGTACAAGAGTCAGCAGAAACTGGAAACAGTGGGTTTTGACCCCACCACCACAACCACCATCACCACCAAGGACAGCAGATACTGGGATTTTCGGGTACAGAATTTAGATTCATGGGCTCTGGGGACACACAAATGAACAAAACAGAGAAACATCCCCACCCAGCCTGGGACACTTACCTACCTCCATCACCTGTTCATAGAGAAGTTCCTCTGGTAGGGAGAGAGAAAGAAAGAGCTGTCAGCTCAGTTTGAGGGAGGGCCTTCTCTAACAGGCAGAACTGTCCAGGGACAGCAAGCCACCTGACTAGGACTTTGCTCCTTGTCACTGTGGGTTTGTGACCTTTGCAACAATGAGATTCTGTGAAATGGGACCATATTTATGAGTGTTTTATCCAATGGATAGAATTGGGTTTCCTAATTAATTAGAAGGCTGGCATGATGTGTTATTTTCTAATTTCTCAAAAGATGAGATTTCACAGTTTCACGTTCTTTGATCCCCTCTGCAATGTGGGTCCCCAGAGCATGGCTCTACCAATATCCCAGCCAACCTACAGATAACTGTCCCATCTATGTCTGCTTCCTCCTGGCCTTTTCCTAGAGAGGCCACAGTCCCACTTCCTGCCAGCCTGGGCCGCCTTACTACTTAGTTACCTTTTGATTTTCTTTGCTTCCAGATGAAGTTAACGCCCACAATGATGAGAAGCCCCAGGACAGGCAGGATCACAGCAAGAGCCACTTCTGACGAGGAGAACCTTGCTGGAGATGGGGCTGAAACAGAAACCACCCATGACCACCCTCTGAGAGCTTCTCCCATTCCCGGGGGCCCATCTCACATGGCAGGTCATGCAGGTGCCTCCTAACTGCTTCCATCACCTCTACAAAGAGGCCTCCAGCCAAGTCAGTGAGGCTCTTTGCTTCTCCTGTAATTCAAACCCCAGATGATGAGGGATGACTTGAAGGTGAGATGCTTCTCTCTCAGGTTTGCTTTCAGTGGTCCTGCCCGAAGACACGGAGTCAAACTTGGCTTCTCAACCACAATCTCATCCTGTCCTTTATGGAAAAATTTCCCAGAGACTGGAGATTTGGAGGGGCTTCCTTGGGAATCCCCTAAGGCCTTCTCATGAGCACCCAGCCACTTCCCCTTCAAATCCTCACTCTGAGGTAGAACGGCAGTCAGCAACCTCTTTGCCCTGAGCCCTGTTGGCAGGGACAAAATCATCTCTGTGGTGCTCCAGCAGCAAGCTAAAAGTCTAGGTGGCAGAGAAAGGAGAGGGGAAAGAAGAAATAGAGGAGAAAAAAGCAGCAGCAGAGGCTCTGTGATAAGTGGCAAAGAGCTTAAGCTGGATGTGAGCACTTGCTCAGCACCACGTGACCCTCAGCAAAAGATGGAGGCTCTCGGAGCCTGGCTTGCCATCTGCAACATGGGGGTGGTGAGGAACCCTGTCCCGTTGGGTGGTCGGGAGATTTGACGAGATCAGGCATGTAAAGTGCTTAGCACTTAGTGAGAGGCAGTGGCAAAAGCAAGGGAAGGGAGGAGGACAGGGGGAGAAAAGAAAAAAGGGACTGGCAGAGGTCCATGACCCCACCCCACCCAGGACCCCAGACCACTGTCTGTCTGTCTTGACTTTAAAACCGTTCTGCTCTGCCACAGGGCTCCCTGTTCCAAGGGTCTAAAAGAGTCACACCCACTTTGACCCACTAATTCTACCTCCAGAAAAACACTTTAAGAAAAAAATCAGAATCAATTCCCAAAATATGTGCCAAGATATTCATTGCACCATTAATTATAATGTGAGGAGAAACTGAAAACCATCCAGATGTCCAGAAATAGGACTTTGATTAATTGTATTATGCTATAACCACACAATGAAATACTATGCAGCCTTCAAAAATCACACTGCAAAGAACTACTTAAGGACGTGGGTGAACAATGCTCATGGCATTGTAAGTGGATGGGTCAAAAAATAAACCTGGGTGGAAGAATGCATATATAGAAACACATGGACTCTCACAGATACACACACACAAAAAGCTCTTGAAACAAATGTCCCCAAATGTGAGCAGTGGTTCTCCCCAACTTAGGAGATTATAAACTTTTGGGGTTTCTTTAAAATGTTCTGTATTTTTTCAGTTTTTCTACAATAAACGTGTTATTCCTGGAATTTTAAATATTCAAAAATGCTTAATGAAGTTTCCACCAACATAGGAGTTTTCTCTGAAACCACCAGGGGCTTCAAGCCTGTCTTCCAGCCTGCGTTTACCTGCTATGACCATGGCTGTGGTCTTCTCTTGGCCGAGGACCCCATTGCGGATGGTGCAGGACACATTCCCCAGAATGCTGTCCCTGACTCTGTTGGACACCGCTGCTCGGAAGAGGCCAGCTTCGTCCAGGGAATGGGTCTCCAACAGGGATGGAAACACCCTGCCCTGAGGGTCTCTCCACTGGACCCAAGGCTTTGGGAACCATCCCGCCGACCTGCACACCAGCTGGATCCATCCAGCGTCGTAGCTTTGCACGTGGATGTAAGGGTCGGAGCCTAGAACTGAAGAGGAGAGACGCTGGGCAGGGCCTGGGCAAGGGCGCTCCCCGCCCCAGCCTCTTCTCGCTCTCACAGCCTTCGGTGCTGAGCGGGGAAGGAGGGGCAGCTGATAAAGGCACTTGAATGCCTGCCCTCTCCTTCGCTGATCTTCCAACAGGAGACAGTCTCTGGCTTCATCCTAGTACCTTTCCAAATCTACATCTAGCAGCAACTGCATCCCATGATTCAGATCCTGGGGCCACCTCAGTCCCCCTTGAATAATGACTAACCTGCAACCTGCAGCGTCACGGCGCCCTCTCGACTCAGGTTTCCGATCTGGACCTGACATCGGTACCGCCCCCGATCCTCCAGCCGGACATGGTGGATCCTCAGAGTGACACTTCCCTCTCGGGCGTCTCTCACCAACGCCGTCCTCCCCTTATACTCCGGCATCACGCCTTCCTCCAGGTCCTTCCCTTCCCGGAATACGTGAACAAGCTGGGAGAGCCCCAGCCCCGGGGTCCGCAGCCACCTCACACCGGACGGTATGGTAACGGGCCAGAGCGGGAGAGGGCAGAGCAGCTCGGCTGTGCCCCCTAGCGGGGCCACGTGGGACTGGCCGGCATCCCCTGTGCGGTGCGAACGAAAAAAAGGGCAAGGCGGTTTGGAAGAGATGGGAAAGAAAGCTTGGCAACGCCGGTGGGAGGGAATATTTGGGGGAAGGACAGCTCCTGGGTAGGGCATTGGAAAGGACTGGGGGAAGAACAGAACCCAAGAATAAGCAAGGCCTCTGGCCAGGCCTCTTTATTCTTAGAACACCTTTGTCAGATGCCCCAGGCAGGGAAAGAGGTTCTGAAACTCTCACCCAACACGTGCAAAGGCAGTTGGAGGAAGACGAGTGTGATGAGGCATCTGGAGAGCCAGGAGCGAGAGGAACTTGCCATCTTCACCTGGACCAGGAGGACAGACACAGGGAGACATCAGAAAGGACTGCCAAGTTTGATGTGAGAAAGGGTACCACCTAGGAGGTGGGGCGGAGATGGACGCTGCAAAGGGTAGGCTCTGGAAACACACAGACCAGGTGTTGAATTCCAACTCTGCTACTTACTTCCGTGTAACCTTGTGACAATTTCTCTGAGACTCAGTTTCTCCATCTTTGAAATGGGTAAAATAACTGTGCCTCCTGGCAGGATTATTGTGAAGACTGAAGGAGCTAAGTGCTCAATACAGAGGTTGGCATCATGGTTAAGTCTCTAAATGCCATGAGTGAGAACGATGGTGGAGATAAGATGAGTGAGGACCAGATGGCAAGACAGTGTGCTCTAGAAGGCATCAGGAGGAGTCTGAAAGAATGAGAACTTATACCCAAAACTAGCCAGGTAGACACCAGAGTACTGGCCTCTTTTTGCATTTAGTGTCCTAGGCCGGGCTTGGGAAGCATCTGTTGCAAGCCAATCGTGGATCCATAATACAGCCTGGAGCTCTTCCCTGACAGTCTTTCAAGTCTGACGCTTGAGAAACAACAAACCAAGGCATTGCATCATGAAGGCACTAATCCTACAAACTCAGCGCCTGGAGTTCAAGTCTTAGCTCCACCTGGTACTAGTTCTGTGTCCCTGGAAAAGTTTACAACAACTTTGAGCCTTCAGTTCTTAATGTATAAAGGGGGAACCTGCTTCATAGCTGAATGTGAGGGTTCAAGGAGATGATGTACATAGAGCACTTGCCACAAACGCCTGGCAGATCAAGCTCCCAGTTAAGTGCACTGCTGTTGTTACTACTAAACTGAAAGAGGACGATCATCCCTGGGAAGTGTGGGCCACTGTGTGCATTCACCACAGGGAGACCCTAAAGGATTCCCTCCTACAACTTTTCCCCCTTCTACTTGCTACGGACTGAAATTCCTTGAATTGGAAACAAATCTTTCATGCCACCCCCGGGGAAAAGTTTAAATGCAAACACTCAAAGAAGAGAGAACTTGTCTTTTAAATTCTCTCTGACATTTGAAATCATTTCCAAAGAGGAGGTTTTTTATAGAGGTCATCAGGGTGGGACCCTGTAGGTCTGAGGATAGGGCAAAATGAAGCTTGGGAGAGGTGGGGCTGTCAAAGTGAGGTTGGGAAACTGAAGAGGGACTCAAGCTTTGGACACATTTCCAATTCTGTTTTTCTCAAGGCAAACAGCACACTGGTTTAAGGCTGTTTTGTTTGGTTTCGTTTTTAAATCATGATGCATATAACACACGCCTCAAATCCCCCAGTGTTACAAATGGCAACATAACACTAGGACATGGTAAAGTTAGGATTACAGTTAGGATGCATTTTTTTTTTTATGTTTCTTTTCTTTCTTTCTTTTTTTTCCTCTGCGTCTATCCCTGCCACTTTCCTACAGGTTACCGGCTACTCAGAAGCTGAACAAGAGAAGTTAGGTAACTAGGGTGGAAGGTGGAACTTTATGAAGAAAGTTCCCCTGATAAATGTAAAACATAATTTCACTTCCTAAAGCTCAACGTACATGATACAATTTGGAGACAACTGACACCTTAACAATATTGAGTGCTGTGGCTCATAAACGTGGCTTCTCTCTCTCTCCACTTATTTAGGTCTTCAATTTCTTTCAGCAGTGTTTTATAGTTATCAGTGTATAGAGATCTTGCGTGTTTTCTGTCAGATTTACTAAGTATTTAATATTTTGATGTTATTATAAATGGTAGTAATTTATTAATTTTAATTTCTGATTTTTCATATAAAAATACAGTTGATTTTTGTTTATTTTGTCTTATATCTGTGACCTTGATAAGCTAAGTTACAAGTTCTAGTAGCATTTCTGTAGATTGCATAGGATTTTCTACATAGAAGATTGTATTGTCTATGAATAAAGACAGTCTTACTTCTTCCTTTGTAATCTGAATGTCTTTTATTTCCTTATCTTGTCTTATTGCCTTGGTTCTCTCCTGATCCTAGGGAAAACAGCCCTTCTTGCACCGTTGAGTTTAATGATGGCCACATCATTTTCATAGATGCCATTCATCAAGTTGAGGAAATTTCCTTCTATTTCTAGTTTACTGAGAGTTTTTATCAAGAATGGATGTTCATTTTGTCAAATGATAGGTCTGTATCTATTAAGATGATCCTACAGTTTTCCCCTTTTTTGTTGAAATATAGTTGATGTACAATATTATATAAGCTTCATTTGTAAAACACAGTGATTCAAAATTTTTTTAAGTTATATTCCATTTATGGTTATTATAAAATATTGTCTATATTGCCTGTGTTGTACTATATATCCTTGTAGCTTATTTATTTTATACAGATGGTTTTTAATTTTAGTTTGTTAATATAGTAAATTTTTTTTACCATATTATTATTTTTTTTCAATGTTATACCAACTTTGTATTCTGGGGGTAAACCACAGTCAATCATGAAATAGTATATACCATTTTATATACCTTCAGATAAAATTTATTTAAATTTTAAGAATTTTTAGGGGGGAGGGTATAGCTCAGTGGTAGAGCACATGCTTAGCATGCCCAAGGTCCTGGGTTCAATCCCCACTACCTCTACGAAAATAAATAAATAAACCTAATTACCTCCCTTTCAAAACAAAAAACAAACAAAAAACTCAAAAAAAATTTTCAAAATTAAATTTTAAGAATTTTTGCCTCTATGTCCATGAAGGATATGGGTCAGTACTTTTCTTGTAGTATCTTTTTCTAATTTTGGTAATTCGGGTAATGCTGGTCACAAAGAATGAAATAAGAAGTGTTTCCTCCTCTTTAAATTTCTAGAAGAGTTTGTGCAGCATTAGTATTATTTCTTCCTCAAATTTTTGATGGAACTTACCAGGAAAGCACCTGAGCCTTCAGTTTTCTTCATGAGAAGGTTTGTAACTAACATTCAATTTCTTTAATAAATACAGGGTAATTCAGGTTATCTATTTCTTCTTCTTGAATGATTGTTGGTAGTTTGAGTCTTTCAATTTGTTTAATTAATTGGCATAACTATGTTCATAATATTTCCTTATTATTCTTTTACTGTATGTGGAAACTGTAGTGATATCACCCTCTCTCATTCCTGATATTGGTCATTTACGTCTCTTTTTTTCTTGATTAGTCTGACTAGAGGTTTATCAATTTTATTGATCTCAAAGAACCAGGTTTGGTTTCATTGATTGTTTTCTATTGTATTAATTTCTGCTCAGATCTTTATCACTTCCTTTCTTCTGCTTACTTTGGGTTTAAAGTGCTCTTTTGCTTGTTGCTCAGGTTATTGATTTGAGATCTTCTTTCCTAATATTGTCATTTAGTACAATACAGATGACTATATTAGCCATCTTTTCTAATATAGTCATTAGTCATTTAGTCATAAGTTTCTCCTTAGGTATTGCTTTAATGACAGCCAACAAATTTTGATATATAGTGGTTTTCATTTTCATTACATTCAAAATACTTTTTAACTTCCCTTTTAAGTTTTGCTTTGACCTATAGGCTATTTAGAGATGTGTTATCTACTTTCCAAATATTAGAAATTTTTCAAGATGACTTTCTGTTATTTCTAACTTAATTCTGTTGTGGCCAGAAAACATACTTTTTATAACTTGGATCCTTTTAAATGTATTGACTTGTTTTATGTGCTAGCATATGCTCTATTTTGGTAAAAGTATCATGTATTTTGCTGTCATTGGGTAGAGTGTGACCAGTGAGATATGAGACCTTAGCTTTTTCATTAAAGCTGATGAAATTCCATTAATCATAATGTCATCTGAAAAGAGCAGAGAGCAAGCTGGTGATAACATCCACAAGAATCTAAGGCTAACATTGTAAAATGATTATAAATCAATAAAAAATGTTAAAAAAAAAGAATCTAAGACTAAATAAAACCAAACAGTAAAAGAAAGGCTTATATCCCTAGTGGACTGAGGACTGGAGTCAGATGGCTTGGTTTTAGTCTTGGCTTGGTCCTTACTATCTGTGTGACTTTGTAACTTTGAGCAAGTCACTTAAACTCTTAGGCCCTGAGTTTTCATCTTGAAAATGGGAAATTCACTTACATTTGCTGAGTTCATTCTAAATTGGGAAGTAACAAGAGGTAAGGAAACATATTTGCCTTTTGATCCAGTAAGAAATATTCTGGAAATCTACTCTAAGGAAAAAATATGAAATATAAAAGTTTACATGACCTCAGTAGTATTTTTATAATAGTGAAAAACTGGACCATCGACAGGTACATCAGTAAGGAAGTGACTAAGTAAATTATGATTCATCAAGACTATGTTTCAAGTGAAAACTAATAATGATGTGTTAGAGGCAAAATACAAAATAATATACTTACAATGACTAACTACATTAAGGTGTGTAAGAAAGGAACTAAGTGGTGGAAACATGGACGATTTTTCTCATCTCTATTTCCCAGCTTATTAATAAAGTGTAATATATTGATGAAAAATGTGTAACACAAAACTAAATTTAGCAAAAGTAATATTTATTTAATTAAAGAACTTTGACTAGATGAAGTTTCAAATTCCTTTCCAGCTCCAGTGTGCTATAATTCTGCTTCATGAAAAGGAAAAACAACATTTCAAGAGTGTCTAACTTTCAGTTCTCCGCTAGAAATCACTTAATTTGGAAACTTAATGCTTCAGATTACAAAACTATTGAGTTAAGAGGAGGATTAGTCAGATTCTATTTCTGAGAGAGCCTTCAGTGGGTGGAGCAATGGGGAGGGAGAACCACGGTATTTGATGGAAGTTTCCAGATCAGATGGGGAGAAGAAACCAAAGAACGGGAGAGGAAAGTAAATGATGGCAGAGGGGAAACAGGGTAGAAGAAAAAGACTGAAAAAATAAAAAGGTAAACAGATGGTGACTAAGAGTTTTCCATCATCAGCTGTCTAGGTACCACTTTTGCTGTAAGTCACCTGTAGGACACCAGGTCCCCAAAATCATTACATGTATTTTTTCATTGCTATATCTAGAATTTTAATTTTTTCTTGTATCCATCCTACTTGAAGGAACTAAAAGCCCTCTCTTCTCACTATCTCCCCTAGTCTTTGGCCTCTAACTCCCTCAGACTCTGGGAGCCCCTCACATTACCCTCTGGGACGGGTGCTCCCTGTCCCAACAGGCACCCACCCATCAGCCAGCTCCAACTCACCTCCAGGATAGCCCCATGGCATTTCAGCTATCTTTCAGTTTTTACTGAATAAAATTTTTGCTTTTTCTATCCTACTTATTATAGAAAATCTGGAAATTACAAGAAAAAAAGACAAAAATGTTTTAAATCATCTGTAATTCCTCCACCCAAAGAGAAAATGGTTCTTCACATATTTTTTCTATGGATGTATACAACTTTTTTAAAAAGTAGGACTACACTGTATGTATTATTTTGATACCCAACATTTTCACCAAGAACTTGGTGCATTTTCCCATGCCATTCCAATATTCTTTTAATGATTTCAACGTTCCATGATGAATATGCAAGAATTTTAAAAATAATTCCATATTATAGGATATTTAGTGTTTTTCCCAATGCATTGTTATTCAAAGCTTTGCTACAATTGGCAGTGAGTAGATTGAGGGCCAAGTTATAAGGCTTAGTCCTAATCTTGGCTTGGTCCCTAATTGTGTGACTTTGTAACTTTAAGGAAGTCACTTAAACTCTTAGGCCTTGAGTTTCCCATCTTTAAAATGGTGAGACTTCTCATTTGCACTGCCAAATTGCCCTCCAGAGAGGTCATATCAATTTACCAAAATGTATCATACTGTTTGTTTCTCCACAACCTTGCTATCACTGCTGTCATTTTAAAAAATTTTTGTCATTTTAATGAGTAACCAAATCGTATCTCTTTAAAAATAATTAAAGCTGTTTCATTTTAATTTGTATTTCTTTTTTTTTTTTCCCTCCGCACTGGCTCAACCTCAGGAGACTGGCAGCACCTGTGAACCCTAATTTGTATTTCTTTGATTATTTGTTTCTTATTTGGACTTTGTCCATTACCTGTCTTTATACTTTGTCCATTTTTCTATTTGGGCATTTGTCTCTTAAATGGTTATAAAATCCTTCACATAGTTATAATCTTTTTTCTACTATACATGTTGGAAATATTTTTTCCCATAGGAAGTCACTTACATTTAAGTTTGAAATAGTTTAATTTCAAAAACTTCTAAATCATAAAAAACATGCAACAGAAGTTCCCTTGATAACTCCAAGCAGCTTAAGAGGATCCTGGGAATCTACAGATGATCCGTCTGAAAGCACAGAGCTCAGGACACGGCTGAGAGTGAGGGCTAAGAAAGTGATGGCTCTGCTGCTTAACAGTGATGACAGTACTACCAAAGGAGAGTCTTTAGACAAAGCCGATCAAGCCTCCTAGTCACTTGTCCCCTTTCATGACCCTCATTTCCTATTGCCTCATTTCATCCTCTAAAATGTTCTTGTGAGTATGGAGAAAGGGGATAGCTTCTCCAACGAACCTGAGGATCCTGAGAAAGTCCAAGAACTAGAAAGAATCGAGAAAGGAGAGAGGGAGGAGGACTCACCACCTTTGGAGCTGGGGGCCCTTTGTCCGTCACTGGCTGAGCTGGCGTCTCCAAGCTGGGACCATCCCTCCGCCCATTCAGGGAGATCAGGCAGGCATCAGGCAGGAGCATCAGGAAGGGCTCTGCAGGTGGGCCTGGGGAAAGTTCATCTTTTATTTGATGCCCTCAGCTCTCAGCCAGGGGCTTCCTCTGCCCCACAGACTCCCTTCCAGTGTCCCTATACCCCAGCAAGCCACACCCCGCCTGCCTGCCCCTGATAAAGAAACTGAGCAAAAAGAGTCTTCCTAAGAGTGAGGGAGCCTCCCAGTGCCACTGAGGTAAAGAGCCTTTGCCCCTCAGCTCCCTTTCCCTCCCAAGCTAAGTGCAAAGTGATTGCCTTTGATACATTTTGATCCTATCACACCCTTTCTGAAAAGCTTGCTTCTCTTTCCTTTCTAAATCAGAGTAAAACTGAAGATCGGTTTCAAAGAACCACCAGTTAGCCACCTTCTGTAACTCACCACCTTTATCTCCAGCTGCACCCTGACGTGTGCTTTCTGACAAACTAGCTTACTGCCCCCAACATGTGATAAACGCTTTCCCTCCTACCTTGCTTTCAGAATAGCCACAATTTTATATTAACAAGATCCATAACTGTACCCTTTTATGTATTTTTGAACTTTATAAAGATGGAGCACATCATACGTAATACCCTCCCTGTGTTTTCCTTTTTTCACTCAACATTAGTTTCTCAGTCTAGCAGACACCGGTGATGGCTCACACCGTGTCTCCTCAGCTCACCCAATTTCAGGGTAGCTGAGACTCGCAGACTGGGTATTTACTGTTGAAAAATATCCACGTTGAAGCGGACCCAGGTAGTTCAAACCCACGTTGTTCAAGGGTCAATCGTACATGCACTTCCCGATTGAATGCAGTAACTGGTATGAGCTAATAGCTGTCGTCTGTTAAGCCAGACACTTAAAGGACTTACAGAAATGGAAAACATTCTTCTCACTATTTTCTTGTTTCAGAAAATAGTTGTTCTTCATAAAACATGGTATGTTGACATGTAATGTGTTTATTATTTTTGTTCTTAAATGAGGTTATAATTTAAATATCTCAGTTTTAATTCCTAATATGGCAAATTTCAAAAAACATAACCCATGTAAACAAAATCTCTTTGGGGCCCTCATTTATTTTTAAGGCACACAGACAAATACATACTTCATGCCATTACTACACTACACCTATCAAAATTGACAATGATCCCTTTATAGAATTTGATAGCCAGTCTATATTCACATGTTTTCAGTGGTGTCAAATATGTCTTTTTACTAATGGTTTGCTCAAACCTGAATCCAAACAAAGTACATACACTGCATTTTGTGGCTAAATTTCCTAAGTGTCTTTATTCCATAATGATTTCTCTGCCCTTCCTTTAAAAGTTTTCCTTATACCTTTGATTCATGGTAATTTGTCTTGTACAATGTCCCTCATTCTCAATTGGGTCAATTGCTTTCTTGCGGTATTATTTATTTCTCCATCTCTCATATTTCATGTAAACTGGAAAGCTGGAGGTTTGATCAAATTCAGGTTCACTTCTGAGCTTTGTGACCTGGATGACAGCCTTAACCTTTCTGTATCAGTTTCCTTACTAGTAAATTTTTTTACATGTCTTTTTTTCCCCTCAGGAAATTGACTTTTTAAAATTTTATCATAGCCTCATACATTAGAATGCTTAGATAGAGAAATAAGCCAGTCACTTTTCTTAACTTATATTCCATTTAGAGTTATTATAAAACATTGGCTATGTTTCCTATGCTGTACAATATATCTTTGTAGCTTATTTATTTTATACATAGTAGTTTGTACCTTATTGGTAAATTGAAGCTAAGAATGGTAACTCCCTTACTGGGTCTAAGGATTATATTAGTTAAAGCATGTAAAAATACTTGGAACAGTTCTTTACACCCAATAAATGGTAGCTATTGTTATTATCTGAGGAAAGCCCCCAACTTGAAAGCCAGAGACCAAAATAAACAACGGAGACAATCTAGGAAGTGGTAGAAAGTGGCAGAAAATTACAACTGATATCCTCAGAAACGCAAAATAAAGAAGATCCTGAAACCACAACACAAAAGCAAGAGGCTACCAAAAGGAAAGTCAGGGAAACAGGAAAAACTCTTGGAAACTAAAATTTTATAATAGAAATAAACCAATTCAACAGAAAAATCAGAGGATAAAGTTCAGGAAAATGTCTCAAAAAGTTAAAGTAAAAAAAAATGGGAGATGGAAAATGAGAGGGAAAAGATGAATTAAAAAACCAGACAATCTAACACACAGAAAATTTCTCAGGATTGAAGACTATGTATCCTGATTGAAAGAAACCAATGAGTCCCTAGTGCAATGAATGATAGACCTATATTATCACTTACCATGATGAAGGTTCAGGACACCAATGATGAAGGAAAGATATATGTCCTAAAAGCTTCCAGAAACAAATGAACAAATAAAAATTACACAGGAAGTAACAGAAATCAGAATCAATCAGACTTTTCAAGAGTCTAGCCACATGAGAAGCTAGATGATGATAGATCAATGCCTTTAACATTCTCAGGGAAAGTGATTCCCAATCTGGAAATCTGTACCCCACCCAGCTTTCAGTCAAGTGTGAGAGCAAAATAAAGCCATTTTTAGGCAAGCAAGGTCTCAAAAACTTACCTTTCATGAACCTCTTCTGAGGAAGCTACTGGAGAATAAGATCCTCCATAATGAGAAAATAAACCACAAACAGAAAGATCCAGGAGACAGGGGATTCAGCACAGAAGAGATGGGATTATTTAGTTGGGATAATTTAAAGGGTAAACTGACTCTGTGTCTCTGTCTGTCTCTGTCACACACACACACACACACACACTTCTAACTTATCCTCTTCCTCATCTTTTCCCAAGACAACTTATGATAACATCACTTTTATCAGTGGCTCCCCACTTTTTCCAGTCTTCCAGTTTGGCTTTTCCACTCCTTCATTCCCTACATCCAGTCATTTTAGTCTTTTTTTTAAAGCCTTCCAAAGATCCCTGCCCTGTCTCCAGCTGTAATCTAAACTTTATCACTTGTACAACGTGATGCAAATGTAAAATACACTATTATGTCAAGATTTCTGAAACAGACTCTTGTTCCCTTATCTCCACATCCTCGTCATCCTGTTATTTGTGTGTGTGTGTGTGTGTGTGTGTGTGTGTTTGATGATAGCCACGATGACAGTTGTGAGGTGATATCCATGTGGTTTCAATTTGCATTTCTCTGATGATTAGCAATGTTGAGCATCTTTTCATTTGCCTGTTGGCCCATCTGCATGTCCTCTTTGGGAAAATGTCTATTCAGGTTTTCTGCCCATTTTTTAATCAGGTTGTTTGTTTTTTTGAAGTTATTGTTGTATAGGCTGTTTATACATTTTGAATATTAACCCCTTATTGGTCATATCGATTGCAAATATTTTCTCCCATTGGTTGTCTTTTTATTTTGTTGATAGTTTCCTCCTTAGATAGGTTTACCATCTTAATCATTTTTAAGTGGTAATAACAGTGGTATTAACTATATGCATATTGTTGTGCAACTGATGTCTAGAACTTTTTCATCTTGCAAAACTGAAACTCTATATCCATTGAACAACTCCCCTTTCCCCCACTCCCCCAGTGCCTGGCAATCACTATTCTACTTTCTAAGAGTTTGACTGTTTTAGGTATCTCATAGAAATGGAATCATGCAGTAATTGTCTTTTTGTGGGGTCGTGCTTATTTTCAAGGCTTCTGACATGCCGTGCTAAACTGGCTTCCAAAAAGGTTGTAACCACTTACACTTTGACTGAAAATGTTTGAGTGTTCATCCGGGCTACACTTTCACTGTTGCTTAGAATCCATCTTTTGTTTCAATTCTTGCCCAGTCCTTAGACGTACAAAAGGAGCAGCCTTGAACATATTTTCCTTTGGACAGGCCATTGTCCTATCCTAAATCCTGGCTGAAATACTGGCTGGGGCACTTACTAGCTGTGTGACCTTGGACAAGTTACTTAACGTCTCTGTGCCTCTGTTCCCTTATTTGCAAAATGGGAACAATAATATTATTATAGACGTACATTATATGCATATTTACTATGAGAAATAAATAAGTAATAAATATGAAGCTCTAAGAAGAGTATCTGGAATATAATAAAGCCCAGAAGACAGGTAGCTTTATTGTTGTTATTGTCATTATTCTTAGTAGACTGAGCAAGATTTCTGTCAAAGCACTTATCTACCATTTTGTCCAATCCTTGCTAATCTAATAAATGAAAAGTGATAGCCAGGTATCTTTATTTGTAAAATTATTGTAAATAATTATAAAATTGTAATTGTAAAAAATTGTCATTATAACTTATTGATTATGAGTGAACCTGAAGATTTCCCTTTGTTTATATTGGCTATTTATACTTCTGTCACTATTTCCTTTTCAAAGCACTGTGGCAAACAGGCTCTCACTTGACCTTCCTAACAAGCTCCTAGGGATGGCGGCAATCACCATCCCTATTTTTCGAATTAAAAACTGAGGCTTAGAAAGCTACAATTCTAGTCCCAGGTTTCAGATCTCACCCTTCAAGGCCCAGCAGCTACCCGAGAATATAATCCCGGGAAAAGCTTTTATTTCTCGTACCCACCCACTCCTGTCCCAACTCCAGCCCCAGCGTCCGGGCGTCCGGACAGCCGCTTTGCGCACGCGCGGTCCTTCCTGTGGGCGGGGCCTCGGCGCGCCGGACTGCCCTCCGCCTCCGGGCCCC